AAAGGCAGAGTGGAGAAAACAGGGGTCCTTTTGGCTCAGGAGGCTGTAAAGCCATGGAGCACCTTATAGAGAGAGAGGGTGCAGGGTCCTGCAGGACTGTAGGGAAGCTGGGAGAGACGCATCCGGCTGTAGATTTAGGTAATGGGTGCTGTCTCCAACTAGCCACTAAAATTAACGTGGCTGGGAGACTCGATCAGGATCCGAAACCGTAACTTCTTTCTGACTTTAGGGCAGCCATCTAAACCCACTGCTTTTTGTGCTTCTAGGGTATTGTGGCCCTAGGAATACCCCTGATTCCCTGCAATGCCCTCCCAGCTTGTCATGCCAAGTAGGGCAGTCTCCATAGGTTTCATACTTTGAAAACTGTTTCCATATGATGGCAGCAATCGCAAGGTGAGGGAGCATGGCACTGGGCTGCAGAAGGCACTCTGGCTGCTGGGTGGGGGCATGGTTTTTGCAGGCATGCTGAGTACGTCCTAGGGGCTGAGCGCACCAACAGACCAACAAGTTGAGAGTGGGGTTTGGCAGAGCAACCAGCCCATGGTGTAGCTGGATTCTGTCACCTCAGCTTTGGGACCACATCCCGCTTTTCATAGTCTTGACCTGCTGCTGCTGCTGCTTTGGATGAATCGGCTGGGTGCGCTCTGTGGCGCAAAGGAGGGTGCCGCACTTTGCTCACTGGGATGTGTTGGGGTGAGTGGTGGTCCCTCGCCGAGTCCCTGCATCCTCCTCGCAGCCATGGGACGGCTGGCTCTTCGGTGGGGAGGACAGCAGGAGCTCCTAGCCGGACATGTGAAGCACACACACTGGCTTCAGGCAACACAGGGGTAAATGATGCTCATTGGAAGCATTTCAGACCTGCAGTTGACTTCCCATCTTCCTTGCCCAATCCCGGTAACTGTACTCTTGTGCATGAATTTGCCTAACTCTTGCTCAGGTACCTGTTGTCATTAATTATCTGTGAGGGGAAAAGAACGTCCTGACTTGATTCAGTGACAGCGTTGAAATTTCAGCGCATGGGTTGGGGCTGGCCCAGCACAGCCCACTGGTAGCTTTCGGTGATCTCCTAAAGCCTCTGCAAAAGCCTGTTGAGTCACTTGGGAGCATTGCAATGGAAAGCTGATAGCAGCAGTGGTATGGAAATAGAGCTGAGGGGATTGGAGTTTTTAAACTGATGGCTAACTTGGACAAGGCTTAGCTGTGCTTAAACTGGTTATGTCCATCAGATTCGGTTATAGATGATTCAGCTCCAGCACAGAGGAGGCCTTTGAACTGCAGTCCTGTACCTCAGCACCCAGCCTGCTCACGCCAGGCTCTCGCGCGTGCTGGGCTTTCCTGCAGCTTTGGAGGAACCTCTCTTCTGAAACAAGGGCCCCAAACTTTGCGACACCACCCTCCGAGCGGACGGCTTGCTAGGAGCTGGAGTCTGACTGTCTGCTTTCCATAGTTCAAAAAGCCAGCGCATGCAGCAGCCCTGCTGTCACCTCTGCGCTGGTGTTGGTGACTGGTGTCACTGCTGTCACATTTGTGGACTCACTCGTTTACTTTTACCCAGGAAGCCGACCATCTTTCCTCTCAAAAGTCTGGGCAGCTACCAAAAACGAGTATACTTTGGGCAGCGTGGGGTTTGGGTCACCACGCGTGCAGAGGCCACAGCACTTGCGTGCTTGTCAAGAGCAGACCAAAGTAGCAATTGCAACAAAAAGCAGATAATAGCGGGGTTTAATACATGTTCACAGCAGCTCTGGGGGAGCAGTGTTTGTTTCGGACTCAAACCTTGGCCAGCAGCGCACCGGAGGGGTTAACTGTACCTGCCAGAGTGCCCGGGCGTGGGGCAGGCAGGCGTGGGGCAGGCGGCTCTTCCCTCCCAGCCCTCCCCTGCCAGCTAGTTTCCCAGGGAGCGGGGAGGGGCGGGTTGGTGCCCTTTCGCCTGCCCTGGCTAACCCTGCTTCGGGCCAGCGCTCCTCCCGGGCGAGGTGGTCACCCTTGCTCTGGCGGCTGCCTCTTCCCGACAGCCCTTGCCTGACTCAGGGGGGATTTAGTCCCGGGCTGGGGGGAGGGAGAGACGTTAAACAGGCTTTTCCCTAATGAGGTGTGACGCCAGCTGGAGAGGGGGAGAATCCTGCTTTTCTCCTGTCTGTTGCTCTCTCCAGCTAGAGGAGGAGGAGATGTGTCCCCCCCCTTCCTCTGCTGATTTGCTGCCTCTTCTGTTTCCTTTCTGTGCCGTCCCCAAAGCGTTTTGGCAAGGTTCAGATTTCTGTGCTCACAGCTCAGTGCTCAAAGAGAAAAGGGGAAAAACAAAAGGGTTGGAGGCATGGGGGGGATGGTGGCAGGGAGGAAGCCCAGCCGCTCGCGGCTTACCCTGGCCAGGCCGGAGGAGCGTGGGGATGGGCGCCCCGGGCATGGTTTGCCCTCAGGACCAGCAGGGTTTTGGTGGCCTCTTTCCCCTGGGAGTCCCTCAGGTCGCTTTGGCCACCTCTGCTCAGATGCACCGCTCGGGCACCCTGCTGCTTTGCTGGCTGTCTGTTGTTGGAGGGGAGGGCTGGAAAAACAAGGTTTATTCCTCCTCCTGCAAAATCTGGGCTGAAGCATTAGGTGAAATGCCTAGGGGATCCTTACACTTCATTCACGGTCCTGAGATGTTAAGATCTGCACCGCATCCTCCTGGTCCCCAGCGTTCCCACAGCACCCTGGGCGTGTGGGAAAAGTCCAGGATTTAGGTGTTTTGGGGCAGAAAGCTGGAGAATCCAGCGGGATAGAAAATCGTGACATTCAGTTAAACAGGGCCAATCGACCCATCCCTGGGAAATTAAAGCATCTCGCGCTGCTTTTGCCCTATCACAAGCAGCGACAGAAAAAAAGTAGACAAAAACTTTACAGGACAATGTCAGTATCTTTTTCCAAGACAAATAACCACAGTAATACTTGGACTGTGCCTTTACCAAAACCCGCTGGCACCGGGTGCGACTGTCGGTAGGGACAAGAGGACCAGAGCGGGCTACAGGCAGCACCCGCGGCATTGGGGAGCGCGGTGCAAGCACCTTTCTCCAGTAGTGCTGACAGCCTTGCACCTGCTAACGATGGACCTTCGTTAGCCCCGTGCTATGCGTGCGCTCGTTAATCCTGACTTGTGCCAGAGCCCTTTAACCCAGAGTGGCGCCGGGACTCTGCACCCAGCCCCGTGGGGGTCTGCGTGCCCAGTGCCTGTAGTAAACAGCTGCAAGATCTGTCTGCAGCCGAGTCGGGTTCCCAAATCTGCTCTGCACCCGCCATGAAGGCAGGGACAAGGAGCACCCGTCTGGGAGAGAGGAGGCAGCAAGAGAGGGGGTAAACTCCCCGTCCAGGTGTTTTGGGGAAGACCAGCGGGTCCCTGCCCAGGAGACAGCACCTTGCCCAGTGCCCGAGGAATGTCCCCCAGCTCCCAGGGTGACCCGCTGGCTCCGAAAATCTAAAGGTCACTCCTGGGCCTGGAAAACAATGGCTTGAGATAGGTGCTATCTGAGCCGGTTGTGGCCACTGCGTAAGGAGTGTTAGTCAAACAGCAGGCTGAAAAGGCTCATGGGAAGCAATTTAAATATTCCTTCATACAAAAGGCTGTCACATCCTAGCAGGGGCAGGCTGCTGACTGACAGCTTTAGTGCACAAGTATATGTGGATAAGGGAGAGGCTGAATGGGGGGGGAATATCCTGGAGACTAATTTCCGCCCCCTTTATTCTGGGTCCTAACACGTTATTTTTCACAAGCTGCAAGTTTACTGTGGTAACATACCTGGGATGTTTTACCGTATCTTTCCTTTTCCCTCTCAGGTACGTTTTGTTAGAGGTCAGATGTCCACTGAAGTAATTTACCAATAAAATAAGTCAACACCTTTAAAATACTAGCCGCTTACCAAGTGAATTCATTCAGTAATTGCTATTTATATAGTGTGATTACTATTTATACAACAATAATACCACTCTCTCCAAGAGATGGCAAGCAGCAACTGCAGTTTTTGTATTAACTTGTCATTAAGCAGGGTAGTCATCTAGAGGCCAGAACAGAGATTCTTGGGACTTTTCCTAGCTCTGCGGCAGGAACGCTATGTCAGGCTTTGCTGCCCGCCGCCCTTTCCTTGCCTTGAGTTTCCACGTATAATAGATGCGTTTAATACATTCTTCGCGGGGCATGTGTCAGGCTTCCACTCGTGAAGCACTTTGGGTATTGCACAAGAGGTAAATAAGAGTGGTGTTGATAATGAAAATATGCCATTAATGCATTTCCAATAAAAAACCTACAAGCGGCATTTAATCTGCGATCTGTTATCAATAATTTTATTACCACAGTTACTGTGGTCTAATAAAAAAAGCACTTTCTCTTCTTTATTGGGTAAGTGCCAAAACGTTTATCCTTTATTCTCTGGCCATTAACCTTTATTCTGTAGCCATTAGCTTAGCCATTTGTGTAACAGTCTGTTGAGTAACATTCAAGTAGGAATTTGTATTCAATCCCTTATATACTCTGAAACAAAAAAAGAACAGCTTCTTATGCCTATGTTATTTATCCGTATTAAATCTTGTTAACTGCTGTATGCTACTGATGATAACTTACAGAAGTGGATTTTTCTTACTGTGAATGATTTTCTGGCATATAAATAAAACTGTAGTTAACCTAGTAATATTTTGAAAACAAATCTTGAAATTGCTAGCTGAAAAACAGATATTTCTCACAACATATGTGCAATTCGTAATAACTACAATTCAGAAGTTTGTCCTTTTTGTGGATCAGTTCCTGCATCACACCTTTACATGAACTCCATCATGCTGAAATAAGCCATGATACTCTCCACCCCTCCATCAAGGGTTGAGGTTTTGGGTCATGAGGTCTGACGGCCCTCCATCTTTTCTTTCTCTCTTACTGGAGGGGAAAAAAAAAACCCAAACCAAAACAAAGAGAAATAAATAATCAAAATGCTTGCTTTTCTTCGAGGCATTTGCTTGCTAGCTTTCAGCCATTTCTGGCTATGCATCTGAAACTGCTACTTCTCTGTGTAAGTGGCTTTCAGGGCCACGCTTTCTGAGCACGTCTTTTAAATGAACTCACCAGCCTCAGTAAGTGGAAAGCAAAGCAGGAGAATGAAACCGTTGATTCCTGCCCATCAGCTGAACGTGGGAGAAATCATGGGTTTCTTATTAGGCTGTAGTATCTCAACCTCACTGAACCCTATTTTTCTGTTTCCATTAGTCTTCTGGCTGGAGAGTGACATTCAGTAAAAGCCTTTCAAGGTCTTCCCATAAACTCTTGCAATGAAGAGGTAGTAGTAGCAGTATTTTTAATGATGGGGAAGGTTGGCTTACCCAGTGTATGCTCTGCTGCTGTACACGTCCTTGAGGCTGATTGGGTCTTTTTGGTCCTGATCAGCCAGCAGTAAATTTTAAGGAATTAGTTTGATGGTTGGAATTTTTTTCTCCTTTCTGCTCATTAGGAACTGGAAGCTGCTCTTCACAGGGATGATGTGGAGTTTATCAGCGACCTGATCGCCTGCCTTCTTCAAGGTTGCTATCAGCGCAGAGACATCACGTGAGTAACCTCGCTCTATGGCTTAAGCGCTTTGCAAGGGGAGCTAATTAACATGGTCGTGGGGATGTTTCACAGCTTTAGAGTGATGACATGGCAGTGATTGGCAGCCACCAGCAATCAAGTCAGATGCTTCACTGAGTGGAAGGGAATTCCAGCTCTTCTTGGGCCGAGTTGTAGGTTTTTAATTTTACAGACCTGTTGTTAAGCAAACTTCTTTATTCAGATCCCATGCAAATCTGTTTGATGCTCTGCTGTAGCACTAGCGCATACAGTGAACATTCACATCTGCTGTTACGCTCTGCACTCCATTTGGTCAAATTAGTGATATCACAGTGAGCCTTTAAATCATCACATATGTTTTCAACGTTTTGTATGTATTGCATGGAATAAGACTTGCTGCTCTGCAGCCACCTCACTTGCATTGAAGATCCCATTGCTTTACAGAGGGACAATCGTAATTATTTTCTTGGAAATAAGAGGGGTATTAGAATTGGTTCAGTTGCAGGATGTTGGAAGTGATTTGACATGTTCTCTTGATGTTTTGACATCCAGTGACACTTTGTTAGTGTCCACCAAAGTAGCCTCCTGAAATGAGACATCTGTAGAACATCATTCTTTAGAGGATCACCACTCATGCAGTGAAATGTGCTTCCAGTGATAACGAAGGCTTGTTGCAGTGTGTTTTATTTGTTCTTCTGTGAATCATGTTCATAGCAAAGCGTAATTGTGGAGATGAAGATGGCTTGGCAACACTTGCAGTTGCTTAGAAGAGGTGTTAAGCAATCCTGCTCCCTAAGATTCCCCTGTTGTGCAGAGGCTTAGGCTGGCGCATAGGCATAATCACAGGTGCTTGCATTGAAAGCTCTATTTCTAATTAACTGATTATATTCAACAAAATTTATATAGTTTATTTTTTTATATATATCTGCCACTTAAGTTTAAGTTCTCTTGCATTGCTGGCTTGACATTCAGCATAAGTGGGTATCAGGACCTGAACTGATATCAGCTGCACTGCATTTACTGTCTCTGAATGAAACTGATCTGATGAGAAGCTTGATTGTAAAGGGACTGCAATTGTGTATACCTCCTTCATCTAAACAGTCACAAAGCAATATAATCTTGCTTATAAACATGCAGCAAGTTTATTTCTACCAGATTAAGTGTTTTGCGCACCTTAATCAGCTCAGCCTCGTAGAAGCAGTGGAAGATCTGTCTTTGATAAATTTGATAAATTCAAAAGTCTGAGGATCTCCTCAACTCTCCAGATCTAAGAGTGTCTACTTAGCAGTTGCACCGTCTAATTGCCTCACCTTTCTCAATATTTTAACTAACAAAAGTCAGGGATGAATCATGGGTGAGTCGTTAGGCATTGGCAAGTTGTCTGTCTGTCTGGGGAAGGTTACACATGTACACATGCGTATACACTCGTGCAGTTACTTGACTCGCCTGGCAGCTCAACAATGTGTAGTTATTCCATACGGCATGTAGGTCCCACTTTGTGCCGGTGTAGGTGCAGCCTTGGTTAAGTCTGGGATGCAAAAGCTGCAAGGAGGTAACGTCATCGCAGAAGGAAGAGCTGCTAACCCAACCATGGTTTTGTGCAGCCTAGTCAGGGTGCGTATGTGGCATAGGTACGTACCTACGTAGCTGTTGCTGTGTGTCTGTCCATGTACGAGAGGTGCCATAGGGCACAGAGGAGTGTGAAGTCATGTAGTGAAGTCGTGAGAACTTACGCATCACCCAAATGGTCGTGCTAGGGAAAGCATGAGGTGCCTGAAGGAGAAAGCAGCTGCACCTTTTCTACAGCACCTCCCGTAGAAGGGGACTACCTCGTGGGCAGGGGAATAACGAGAAAAGTCTTTTCTGCAGAGGCGATGGGGAAAAGAGCACAGCAGGAGCAGCACGGTGGAAATGGCTGAAGGAATATATCAGGAAAACTGCCTGGAGCCACTGGAATGTTAGGGAGGTGGGCTCTGAAGCTCTGCAGAGGAAGAAATAGGGGAGGCTACCTGGAAGTAGAGGGAAAGGTGCTGTATGCAGAGGGATGTCATGAAAGAAGAAGCATTAAGATGTAGTCTAAACATGGAAATCTGTATGTAAATGAGGATAAAAATGATGGCTTGGATACACTTCTTAGAAACAAACTTTCCCCACTGTTTGTTTCACACTTGTAAACCAGCCATCAAATGTTTATCCAAAATGAATGTGTGTTTTTAAAGCCTAAAATACTCCTTGTTCCTTACACATTTATTTCCAATGCCTTTGTTCCCTCTAACCTGAGTTCGAGAGGCATAGGCCTTGGCTGATGCACAGCTTCCCTACTGTATCTAGTTTGTCCCCAGTTAATGGTGAGGAGTTGAGCCTCTAATTGATTTTCTGAGTGCTCAGCAGACGTGCAAATGTAAGAGGCAGAATTTGTGTGGAGTTTAGATTTGGCTTTTCACAATGGGCCAGGACTCCATATTTTTCTGTTGCAGACAGGTAGTAGGTATCTGTCTTGCGTGGGAAAAATGAGCAGTTTCACAGACCATCACAATGGCGTTACAGCAGCAATTTCTCCAGTGATTTGTGCTCCGCATCCTTGTGCTGAGGCTGTGAGCTGTTAATCTTTAGGCTGCAGACTTTGCTCCCTGTTGCACCTCGGAGGGGAAGGGAGGAGCTTGTTCTCATCCTTGTTCTTGGGCTGGAGCACTGCGGCTCAAGCACAAGATGCTTCATATAACTTCATATAAAACATAGTTTACCTCTCTGAGGGGTTTTGAGGTTTAATTAGTTTTGGATCATGTCTTACCTCTTTGATGGCCAAAATGTTATCTGTCTATGCTTTCTCACAGTCTGTCTGGGAGCAGCTTGTAGTTCTTGTCACATCTGTTTTGATGGCGTGCAGAACTTGCGGCGGAGCTGGGCTGCCTGGCTTTAATCATACATCATAGAGGGGTATAAAACTGTCACATACCTTTGCTAATTATAATGTGCTCTCAAGTAATTTTGGAAGTGGAACCTAGCTGAGAGCCCTCCTAATGCACAATTTAACATACTCTAGGTTGATTTGCTTATTATTCTTTGAAAAAAAATGAGATTAATACTTTTGTAGGGTTCTGTGATTCTTGGTTTTGAAGTAGGGCAACTTTGCCTTGGTTTTGATATTCTTTGTGATGGACTTTTTAAAAAAAAGAGTTACATACAAGAGAGAGACTGTTTTTTACCCTGCTTGGTGGTTAAGGAGTGTTGAATGTCTGGTAACTTAAGAATTTCTTTGAGTTACGGATATCTGTGTTTAACTACAGAGACTACTTAATGGGATGCCACATGATATTCTCCAAATTCTTACTTATCATAACCTATCATAGCTGTTAGGAGCACTCTTCATTGACCTGGTTCTTGCTGTGTTAAGCACTGTAGAAGTACAGAACAAAAAAAACCAGTAGTTTGCATTTCTGGCTTCTAGCATCTTTAGCGATGACCCCGTAGCTGTCCTTGCCTGGCACTAGGTGGTTTGAGCGCTTGGCCAGGACACTTTCCCTGTTGCTCTCCTCTTTTTGCTTTGACCCAAAATACTTTTGTGCCATGATCTGCAGCCTTTGTTGTTTTATAAATAGCCTTCATAGTATTCATATACCATACGTACCATCTAACTACTAACCACATAACAACTAATATCCTTGAAGCTTTTTATATGATCTCTCTGCTCAGTTTTATGCTATAGGCACCTTTTGGTTTGATGCCAGTGAGTTTACCCATACATTTTTCCTGCCTCCAGCTTTTGTGCACAGGCCTTGAAATGTCTATCTTTTCTTTTAATTGTTTCAAAATGCAACTGCCTGGAATGTGGGGAGTGATAAGGGAGAAAACTCATAATAGAATTCGGGGGTTTATAGAAATAAATAAATAAATAAATAATAAGCAGTTTGGAAAAAATACTGGTGCTTGCTTCAGATTCTCTGTGATATAAATTGGGCAGCTGCATAGTCCCTAGGGGCTGCCACTTTAATTCCAGCAGGAAATGCGATGTGATGACTTGTATCAAGACAGGAAGATCAGAGCTTCAGCTAACGGCAACAGCCACAGCAGGAGCCTTCTGCAGCTGTTTTTAAGTAAGAAGTGATGGTGTGACATGGATGTGTACACTCAACTAAAATAATCCAGAAAAGCTCCCGCTGTTCAGCATTTCTTTGGGTGAAACTCACTCTTCACTGCTCTGTTATTGCATTTTTGCTATTTTTCTAATGTGATGGCATAAAAAGTTTCACTGACTTTATTATATTTCTCATTGGGAGACGTTTTGTACACTGCTGTTGTCTCTTGAAAAACATTTAATTGCTTTTTCTTACAACATGTTTTATTTTTTATTTTTTCAACATGGGCAAAGGTGCCAAAAAGTGAGGAGGAACAAAAACAATATCTCTGCTCTTGCCTATGCCCCATGAGATTTATTTTTTTTTAATACCCCAGGAGATTGGTCCATCACTGTAGCTGAAACCTATCTAATTGACTTCTGTGGCACCACAGACAGCATTTGCTTCCTTAGGAACCTCAATTATTTTTTTTCTTGTTACTTCTTCCCTTAATGCATTGGAATTTTTTTCTCCCAGGTGGATCATCTGTTTTGCACCCACCTTAAGTTCTTTCTGGATCTGTAAACTAACCTTGGAGTCTTTGGCTTGTAGTTTGCACCTGGTTTGTTCTAATATAAAGGGCAAAGGAGTCCAGGAAGGCTGGACATTCTTCAAGAAGGAAATCTTAAAGGCGCAGGAGCAGGCCGTCCGCATGTACTGAAAGACAAGCCGGTGGGGAAGAAGACCAGCCTGGCTGAACAGAGAACTTTGGCTGGAACTCAGGAAAAAACAGAGTTTATGACCTTTGGAAGAAGGGGCAGGCAACTCAGGAGGACTACAAGGATGTCGTGAGGTTATGCAGGGAGAAAATTAGAAGGGCCAACTAGAACTTAATCTGGCTACTGCTGTAAAAGACAATAAAAAATGTTTCTATAAATGCATTAG